TACAAGGTTTGGGCCCAGGACAGTCCATGACCCTTTGCCAGAACCATGAGATTAAAGTTCACGGTGTGGAGTTCTTCTGAGCAGCCCCAAGCCTGTCATCAATGACTGGCCAAAACGGCGGCCTTAGGTGCACCGGCCCTTTGCAGTTGAAACCCTGAATCCACAACTCTGCAACGTTAGAGTTCGAAGACTGCACTTCGCGTGCTGCGATCTCATCGCTGAGTCTTGCCAGTTTCCTACTATCCGAGTGGCTTGGAATTTGCTCATGTTTCTTCTTCTGCCTCATACTAAAGGTGAGCTGGGCACGCCATTAACTTCACTACTTTGCAAGCCGTAACCATCCTGTCTCCAGTCCGAGGGTCTAAACTCACGGTCCTGTCGCAGCAGGTGGGTTTGGACGAATGGCTGTGCAGGCCATGTGCGACGGCTTCCAAGCTTCAAACTAATAGATGAGGCATCTTGGAACGTCCCTTGGTCTCTTCCTTCTTCCTACAGCCGCCGGGTGCCCAGGGCTTGCTGGGCATAGTATCTCTGAGTCCGAGGTGCTGCCGATTCCTCAGGTGGTCGGTGGGTGTAGGCGGGAATTTAACACAACGGCAGGAGAGCCCGCTTGTGACGAATGCTTGTGCAGGCTTTGTTTCAGGACTGACTCGAGACCTGTGTCGCCACAAATGCAAGCTGCTAGCATCATTGTGCCTTTATCTTTGTGCCATGTAAAGACCACCCCCCACCCATCGAATCAACTGGCCTGTCGACTGTGTCTTGCGAGAGTCGTGACAATGCTATCGTGCAAAGTGCCGGGTCTTCTTATCTTCTTGTGCTTCCTGTCCTGTCGGCATTGGGTTGGTCAACATGGCCCCATGCGCGGCATCGCGCGATTGTCCCGAAAATGACGTGGGGCTCGAGTGCAAACCTGAACTTCAGCGTGCCCCCGCATCAGGCCCAGTGCGCCAGATGACATATATCGGAATCGTTGGAGCGCCTCAATAGTGTGTTGACGATGCCGTTTCACGAGCTCGGATCGTGCATACGCGCAGCTTTGGATTGTTCCCGACAGACATGCGCCACGACTTGCTAAGGTTGTGGTTCAACTTTGGACAGCGAGGCAATGTCAATTCCACTCTCAGCTTAAGCACGAGACTCTCAAGGGCCAATGCGTTGGCACGCTTCAGCCCATCACGCCCGATGCTTCGCGCAGGAAACTGCCTGCGTTCACACTGCTGTACGTGATGTGACCTGACGCTCTTGCAGCGCTGCGCGTCGCAGTGCACAGATCTTGAAGTGGCAGTACTGGCACCCGAGCCTGAAGACCACCGTTCCAGGATGGACATCATGCCAGCAAGTCGCACCCCCCAACTTCTCCACAGTTTTTGGTGGCCAAGGGTCCCTGCGGGGCCGGGGTACATTCTACACAGCCTATGAAGAGAGTGGAATCCGACCATTTCCTGCGTGTCGAGGTCTAACACTCCGGATCGGCTTGTGATTGCCGTAAAGTCACACTCATGGCGACTCTGCGTGTGCCCGAACGACTGTCATGAATGTCGACGCTCCAGTCAGTGGCTAAGGGTGGTCACCTGCCCAGTGTATGTAGTCATCCGCCGCCTGCGTGCCTGCTGGCCACATGTGCGCACCTAGAGAGACAGGACGTGCAACGAAGAGGATGCAGGGCTTGTAAACATCACTCTCGTGTCCGGCGCCAGCCTGTTAGCCAACAGTGTTCGCAAGGCATAGGTCGTTCAGCCGGGGTTCGGCACGTATTCAGACTTGGTGACCTTGGGCTGAGGCTTGTCACATCTTGTTCTCAAGTAGCCGAGGTTTTCCACAAACACCGCTAGATGGGAGGTGGTTCCGGTAACATGCAGGGCAGCATCCAGGGGGATGCACGTGCGCTTGACCTCTGCAAAGCCGCCTCACTGCAGTTTGGCTGAAGATCCAGACATGAAAGCTTTGCAGACTGAGAACTCGACAGCTAAAGCTGCTTGCCCATGCCAAGGCAACTGTGGCCAAGATCGTAACTCAACGGTGCGGCGAGGCAACAGCAGCAGTGCCAGTTGCATGTTGCTGCCAGTCCGCGGTTCTTCTTGGGACCCCGATGCGACAGCAACTGTAAAGCGATCTCTTGCCAACCTGGGTGCAACTGTGCGGGATGCTTGGCGCAGTCGCGTGTCTGCCGCAGCACACCAAGCCAGCGCCTGATCTGCGAGTCGCGCTGCATGTCTGGCCGGTGGAGCTTCTCACCACTGTCGGCTTCGGCTCGCAGAGTTCCGGGCTTCACCGCTGAAACCAGAGCCCCCAACACAGGTCATCCAACCTGTGTTTCTCTCAGTATGCCGGCTACGTTGTCATGATCCAGAAAGTCGTCCCGCACGGAGGCTACCATCGCCTTGCCAGCGGCACTGCGAATCCTTCAGCAAGGCGGGACCCCTGTGATTCCATCTCAATGCCGCCACGTCTTGGGTGGTCTGAGCCTAAGCCGTGAAATGCACCCAAGTTGGGTGGCATGTCTGTGCCTGAAAGGCGTTGGAGTTCGATGAAGCTGTTACTTTGCCGGTTTATGGCGCAGGCCTTACTCTTGACATTGCAGCCGTCCTTGCTCTATGCTCTGCGATTCTGCAACCTCAACCTCCGCAACCAAGCTGTCAGCATCCTTGACAGTTAGCACATGCTCGCAAGCTAAGCAATGCTAAGCTTCTTGGTGACGTGCCAACCCCTACACCTGCAAGCCCTCTTCAAACTTGTGCCCGATTCGGGGCTTCCGAGACAGCGCGAAAACGTGCTGCCGTCCGATGGCGAAGTCACTCATGTCCCTCCTAGAGTTCCACAATGAGGCTTGTTTTGGGACTCGCTTTGTTGTGGCGACCATTGTGGCGTGTGCTGGTTCGGACATGCATCACACTGCGATGCAGCCCCAGCTCGGTTTCAGCATCTCTCGTGTCAACAGAAAGGCAGCAACGCAAGTAGCTTCCCAACTCGATGCCAGACGATCGGGGCCAGGGGCCACTCCCCTTTGGGTCTGACGACCACTCCCCTTTGGGTCTGACTCTTCACCTCTCAGTCACGTGATCTTGCTCTGGCGCATGTAGCTTCAACCGGTAGTGACTTGTAGTGAGTGCCGTGCCGACTCTACCGGGACTCTACCCTTTCCCTGAAGCCATAAATGGCCCAAAAGCCCTTGCAGCCGCAGGCCAGATAAGCGCATGGCCTCCATAGCCTTGGCAGTGACTAGAAGGAACGCTTTGGCTGTCTCGAGATTGGAGCTTGGAAGCTTGCTGCTGGCAGCTTTTCTGGACTTGATCAGCTTGATCTCCCCCTCCCTATCGATGCGGTCGCTGCCCCCAAGATTGAAGACATCGTCTGCGGGTAGCCTCAGAGGTCCAAGTGCTTCGCACGCTGTTTCGTTGTGCTGTTGGGCAAGGTCACACGCCTCCCAGCATTTGCAAGTTTGCCTTTTACTTTGGTATGCCTGCTAGAATGCTAGAAGATGACTCAACGGATGCAAAGTCCGTTGTTTCAGTGTGGCGGCGCCGCATTTGAGACCAGAGTGAGGTTCTGATCGGACTCGAACTAACCAGTTTCAGCCCCAAAATACAAGAAAAGCATGCTTTATATGCTTTGGCCACACCCCGCTGAGCACCGTGCTGAGCCCTGTGCACCACTTTTCAAGAACCTGAGGGTGTCAAGGCCTCGCAGAAGATGGCTCAATCAAAGCTGAATTCCACAATGAGAATCTCCAAGAAGTTTTCCTTCTTTTCCTTGCCGTACAGCTCCAGAGAGCACCCGGGCCTTTTCATGCCTTTGGCCCTCCTCCGATTCACTAGCTCCAGAGACAAGCTTTCAGAGATCCGGATGTTGTCATGCAGCTGTTCGTGATGCCGCATCCTCTCATGCGGACGCAGCTCCGAACGCGCGTGTGCAGCTGGATCCGCAGTCTTGTTAACAAGCACTGCATCGATGCGGCCCACCCAGGCACTCCATACTGCAATCGGTACCGAAGCTCCAGCACAAGAAAAACTATCGCTCGGTCCGCGCTCTTAGTCGCTTGCTCATTGTCGTTCACTCTAGAGCTGAAGGCTGCCAAAGATGTGTCAACCATCTTCGAGGGGCGTACGGTGAGAACGTCGCAGCCTCACTGAAGGGCGCTCAAGCCCCACAGCCCACAGTGGACAGCCCCCAGCGAACTCCTTCCAGAGCAGCGAACCCCGAATTCGCCTGGGTTGCAACCCACTTATAGAATTGGGCTTGGAATTCCCTGTGACCTTCCCCTGGAGTTTACACATCCAGGTGCTCTCGCTCGGAGCTAGCTCCTGCCGAAGCCTGCAGTAGGCTGAGAGGGCATCGGGAGCATCCAAGTCTTTGCAGCGTGTGGTTTGGAGCCTTTGTAGGGGTCCCAGAGCTTCGGCTTCCATGGCCTTGCTCACGACATTCCTGTGGTGTTGGTGCTCTTGCAGGCGTCGGGCAGCTGGGACGTGCATCTGCATGCTGCTCCATCATCTTGCGGATGCCGAGGGCGGGATTGTGCCGCGTTGCATGCGAGGACAATCCCCTGAATGGCGAGACTGGGTGAGCTTTGGGACGCCACGTGTTCGAAAGCAAAGCTTCATTGCCAGAGCTTGTACACTCAGTGGGGCTTGCCGTGTCTCTGTGCACACACGGCACGGCCCCGACACACCGACAAGGTTAAGATTGGTTCCCTGGGACCTGAGCCCTGCCATCTCAAGCAAGTGGTAAAGGGCCTGGCGTGTGCTTTTTTTGGGAGCTGCTTGCAACTGCACCTGACGGTAGTTCGGGTGTGCGACCTGCAAGGCCTTGGCACCCAGTGGCAAGCTGGAAGCTGTTGTCAACACGGCGCTGCGAATACAGCGACGCACCCGTTTTCCAAACCCTAAACAGTAAACTTTCGAAACCCTTAGACTAAGCCTTCGACTATGCACTGTACACATTCAGGTTCGTTGGCCCGAACTTATCATGGGTAAAGCATTTGTGTCTCCCTTCCGGAGCACATGTCAACAGGTTTGCCGCTGCCACGGCTAGTAGCCGAGCGTGCCTCTCGTGGCTGCACGATTCCGACCGAGTCCATCCGCGACGGTTGCGTGACACTTCTTTTTTCGGGTGCCATTCGGAAGGGCCAGGAGCCTGAGAAGGACTGTAGGGGAGCCTGCCTCGAGAGCAATCTTTACAGCAGCATCTTGGTCTGCTGGATCATGGACCTTCTGTCCTCGCAGGCGTGCCAGTCCATGAAGGGGCTGATCTCCATGGTTCTTTCACGAGTTGCATGTGCCAAAATGATGCTGGGTGGCTGCAGTTTAGGGGAGTTGCCGGCGAGCTTCCTGGCGACAGCTTTGGACATCCTGGGCGTGGACCTTCGTGGCACATTCTTCCTGGATCCACGTGGTGCAGGAAAGCTTGCAGCTCCCCCCCAAACGCGGCCGGAATTGAAGCAGCGGCTGCCTTGGTTCTTCTGCGAGATGCCACGTTTTCGCACGCAAGAGTGCCGTGTAGAGTTCTACACCTGCAGCAAAACCATGTGTGTGCCCTCGAAGATTGCAGAATTTTGAAGCTGCAGCATGAGTGACACCGGAGCGCTGCTTGGGCAGAAGTCGAACCAGTTCTCTCCTGTTTCTCGATGCTTTGACTTGTTTATGTCATGTTGTCCTTGTTGGAGTAGGAAGGTACGGTGAAGAACTGGATGTCATCATCTAGACTGTCTCTTGCTTGCAATTGGCGCCTGAGGATTCATTTCACGACCAGCTGGCCGAAACCCATGACTGGGACATTGCTGACAAAATTGCTGAACTTGTGAGGAACCATGGGCCGCCAGATTGCACAAACAGGCTAGCGTAGAATACTAGCAGCTGGCAGTGGTCGAGCCCAGCCACAAGGATCTGCATGTTAGGGCCGACATCCCGAACCCAGAACGCCCACTCTCCCTGTAACAGAGAGCAACCCCACGCTGAAGCAAGCTGTTCTCTCATGTTCGTTGGGCGTCGTAGGGAGCACCACCGACATGTCCCCAAGCAACGGCTGTCCTCGTCACATGATCTGATCTTGCCTTTCCTTCGGCAGACTCAGGCCAGCGGCAAGGTCACGGCGAGGCAGGCGACGTCGTCGAAGAACGCGGCGCCAATGCTTGCGAAGGGGTCGCCTGGCCTGAGGATTTTGTGCAATCTCAAGGGGGAGCAGGGGATTGTTGCAGTCTCAGCGTTCTCAGCATCCACCGTTGGTGCCCAGGAGCTGCGACGCCAAGTGATCCACGTGAGCTGCGTGAACTGCATGCTTGCGAGATCTTGGAGTCGAAAGTCCCGGACCTCACTCCCCGCATCTCCCCGCAATGGCTGCAACATATTAGATGTGCCGCGTGGCTGCTCAAGATCTGTATCTGATCTGGGACAGCATGCAATGAGACACACACCTGGAGGGACTGGTGGCGAGGAGTTTCTGAGCCTGCATGGTTGCTCGCTCTTGCAGCATGCAGACTACAAAGCTTCTACGTTCATAAGCGGTTGCAGAGGTTGCACAATAAGATCTGTTGACGGCCTTAGGGCTAAGCCCTCAGGACTTTCAAAGCTGGCGGCCCTCTGAAGTGCACAGTCTGAGAGGTGCACATCTTCCCCAAAATCTCAAAATCTCCGCAGGGCCCTTGAGGCCTACTTCGATTGGGGTCTGATGTGCAGGAGTTATCCACAAGACCCTTTGGCTTGGCAGCCCTCGCAGCCCTCTTCCGGTTCTGTGCTGTAGCTGACATGAGAAATTCTAGAACCCACAACCCAAACAGGGCCCGCCTAAACACACATCACCTTTAGCTTCAGAGGCCCTCGTAGTTTCTGTGAGCTTGGGGATGTATGCAGAAAGGTACGCTGTTTGGGTGATTCTTGTTTTGGGTTTCAACTCTTAGATGGCGAAGGCCTGGTTTGAGCTTCCAAGACGGGGTCTTTGTGTTGCTGTGAGGACTGCGACCCTCGTCGTTTCACCCATCGTGTGCAAGAGGCGCGAAGCGACCCGAAACCCGAAGCCCAAAACCCATCCAAAACCCGATCCCACACTCGCAGCGCCAATCTCTGACTTTCGCGGCCCGGCGCTGCTACGAGGGGACTTCTCAAGGTTTGGAGGGCCTGAACTTCAGGGATCATGGTTTACAGGCGGTTCACGGATGAGGTCAACGATTTGCCAGCGAGAAGTCCCCCCAATGCTCTTTGAACCTGGGCAGAGTCAAGCCTCTCATTCGGCAACACCGGAGCCTTTTCCATCTCATCACATGAGCTTTCAACAGCAGAGGGATGAACACCCACGAAGGGGTGAGGGTGGAGACTCTAATCAGTAATTCGCTGAAGTCCTGGGGCACCAGAGCCTTGCAAAAACGAGTGCTCGCCCTTTGACTCGAAACCGTCGACATCTGCTCGGCTGGAAGCTGCAAAAGGTGCATGCAGCAGTTGGACGGCCGCACGAAGATAGTTGTCTTGAACAGGTGCCTAGCGTGAACAACTGACTGTCAGCAGCTTCCTCACACGCTTCAGCCTCTGAGGCCCCTTATCAGGTGACATACCTTCGCCATAGCAACCGGCGCACACGGAACCTTCCAGGTTCTTTCGAGCAAGGACCAGTCTACTTCATTCCCGGCGGCTGCCCAAATCATTAGCAGCTGTTTGAACATCGGCATGGAAATGCTCAGAGGCCCCACGGACGCCTTGGCAGCCATGTGACATCGCTGCAGATGCCTGTAGGCCTGGGAAAAGGACCACTGTGACAGATCCACTTCTTCAGCAGCCGTTGACGAAGCCATTCGTTTTTCTAACTGACGAAAACCCACCTCCCCTTCCCAAGCAGCATGCTTGGTGACAACATGCAGCTTACAGGGGAGACTACGAGCAACACAGGCACGCAAGTTCAGTGCAAGTTCACAACCAACTCACGACTCTGACAGAGTCTACCAGGCCCTCCAACAACTAACAACTGCGAGCAAGGCTGGTGCGCTGAACTAGCTTGCTGCGGTCATGCCTTAATCACATTCCTGCGAAAACTGCCATTCGCGTTGTTGGCCCTTGCTCTGCAAACACATCTTCAAACGAGCCACGACAATCATCGCAAGCATCGCCGAACACGCCCGCGAGTGTTGCGCTTCGAGCTCACAGACCGAAATCCAAGATGACAGTACATCACTCACAAGGTGTCAGTATTCTCCTGGAAAGTCTGCTGGCCAACGCACCTGCACACTGCATGCAGTTGCGCAAGCACCTTCACCCTTCACCGGGCTCCAACATGAGTGTACTAAAGGATTTCCAGAACTCAGACGCCGGAACACGAAGCCTCAAGCGTAACATGCCGCCGTAAGCCTACTGGTGCAGACAGCAATCAAGCATGATGTGAGTCTTACCAAGCACATGCCAGTGTAGTGAGCAACACAGAATCAGAAATGGTTCTTTGTTGTAACGTTCTCTGTACATTGAATGTCATCCGTTTTCGTCATTGCCTTGTGTTACGGTCTGGTTTGTCATGCAATATTTTTTGTAGTTGTTGTGTGTTTTGGTGTTTTGCTTCGTCTGTGGTTGCCTTTTCCTGTGTGTGTGTGTGTGGCGTTTCGTATGTCTTGTTTGAAGCCAGATATTGCGCTCTGTTGTGTTTTTTGTTGGGTGGCTTCTGGTTTACGGCTTCACCAATCATGTGGAAAGTCCACATACGGACGGTTGTGAGAACACGCGTAGCATCAAGAGTTACAGTTACGCATTGTAAAAGGCACAGATCTAGAGCGTGTAGTCACACAGCAAAGCAAAGAAGCAATCTCATGCCTGATCGCGCAAAAAACTGCTTGCAGCCACACAGAGACCAAGGCAAGACGAGAAACTACACGGATTGGACTGTGTAATCTTGGAACGGCAGAACTTAGACATAGATTGATACCTGCAGCATATCTGCACATGTTTTTCGCATTCGGAGCAGTGGCTGGCAGCACATCGGCTCAAGCTTTGCAGCGACGTCTCGTGATCTCCAAAGATTCTGCGGGGCCCTGGGAGCATCGAAGGAGTCTTGGGCATGCGAGGCATCCTGGGCCCATCGTCGGTTGCACTGACAATCATTGTGGAACTGGCGTTGCAATCGTGTCGGTGTTACTCCTACTCTCTTTACTCTCTTGTTAAGAGCACAGACCTCATATTGAGTGTATGCTGCAAGATGTTGTGAATTTCATGCAATACAGGCAAGCTGCCCGTGGCCAGCTTTCATCGTTGTCCGGTGTCCACGTCTGCACCTGTGCAGGTATAAACTATGCGGTTGTCGTGGAACTTTGATGAGGGGACTGCGATGAGAAACGTGGTATCGAAGGCCGAAGTTCTTCCCGATCCATTGTCGCTGGGCTGGAATGTTCTAGGCTATCGACAGTCTGATGTCTGTGCGCTGAGAGTGGTCGTGGAATTTTTTTTTGTGCGTGTGTGTGTGTGTGTGTGTGCATGTGTGGATGTGTGTGCGTGTGCGAACGCTTTGTTTGCAGTTCAGGCACATCCGTCTGCAGGTTTTTCGGGAACATGTGCGGCTGGGAGAGCTACCAGTGGCTCGTGTTCCCACCACTGGCCATGGCGGGTTGTGATACCTGTTGCTTTTCAAGACCCGGTGCTCTCCATAGCACTTGGAGCAGTGTTGAAAGCTGATCTGCCTTCTGAGATCCGTGCTTCAGCAGTTCCTCACGCTTACAGGTAATGCCTCGGTGTTGTATGTCCGGCCGCGATCCGGGTTCTCCTGCCGCATGGAAAGAAGGCAAGCCAGCGTGCTGTGTAAAGGGTCAGCCGTCACTACGGCCCAGGCAATGTTTGTGCAAGCAGAACAAGAAAGCATTGCTTGGTGTTCTATGCGGGCCGCATAGAGATGTCGCTTCGAATCCAAGGTCAAGGTCGGAGGACTTGTTCAAATTGACAGAATCCTTTTTAAAATTTTCCTCATGGCCCACTTTGCTCGCCAATCTCAAAATGCAGCGTGTCGGAGCCTGATGCCCCATGGTTGTTCAACACACTGTAGAACCCGTCCTCTGTTGCCACGATGGCAGCCACTGTGCTTTGCTTGCACATGCACTGGAACACCACTGTTCCATGAGTTCTATGCCCGTGAGAGATACTCTCCTGTCTTTGAGACTGCGGTTTCATATGAGGTAGTGAGTTTCAGGGCTCTTGGTGCACTCTGTTGTGAACTCTCTTGTGGCGTCTTCCGGCAGACGCTACGAATTTGCGGCGTCAATCGCACCGCTAGTGCGTGGTTACGGGTACATGTTAGCAGGCTGCTGATCTCAGTTCAAAGGCTGGCATCAGCTAGGACACGGGTATTTCCAGAACAGACCGCCTGTGCTGTCCGCATTCAAAAAAGTGACTTGACATCTCCTGCTCGGTGCTGCCCGGCACCATGAAGGGCCCACGTTTGCATTGCAAGGACCGCACACTCAGAAAGTCGTGCGGACATGCCAGAATTGGGCTCGTCCGCCGTGCATGCGCAATGCTTCGGCGCTCGCTTTCCTGCATTGCAAAGCTTCTTCCAGTATGTCAATGTACGAAGCATGGAGAGTCAAGCAGCTACTTGCCTCGCACACCAAGCTGTCGCCTGTGCAGCCTTGGAGCAGAGTCTTCAAGGAAGCATCGGCGGAAACAGGCCTTAGCTCACTTCAGAATGTCGGCCCTTAAAGTTCGTGCTGCATGCTGCTGGCCACTGCCTAAGACATGTGGGATTCTTTGGACTATGCTCCCGAGGAAGCTGAAGCGACATGTCTGAAGGTATTTCATTGGCAGGGCACGGGTCTCTCTCTTTTTTCCATGTCCCAGGGCCGGCAGCAGTGTAGGCAGGAGCCCTGCAAACCGCGGCCGTGCTGCCTTGCGCTAGAGACAGCTTCCATCAAGCATGAATTTACACCGGGTGTTTGGAAGTCGATGTTGCAACAGACTCGGCCCCTTTGGTCGCCCGAGCTGTGCTGTGTGGGCATGGCGAACCTTCGCGCATTTGGTTTGGCGGGGGTGTCCGGTGGTTGCGGAACGCGGGTTCGAAGCTCTGGGCCCAGTGGTGCGGCCTGCGGCCCCTGCGGCCTGGGACTCGAAGCTCTCTGGCCCTATCCTGTCGGCCGGCTCGTCGGTGTTAGTGTGAGGTGAGGTGCTGATGACAACGGCGAGATGCGGATTCTTCAGTCAGTTGGCCCACTCTCTTTCCATGGTCCTTGACCGATTCGCTCACCAGATGGTCCACTTCGCGGGCTCGATCCCTGACTAGTGCAAGCGCTATTCTGTGAGGTCGCCTTTGTCAGCCCTGAAACATCCTGAAGCACCAACTCTTGCATGCCTGACCAAGCTGGACGGGACCAGGACCGGGTCCCATAGCACACCATACTGGCAACCTGCAGAATCTCACTCCGGGCGCAAAAGGGCTACCGTCGACACCACGTGGTGAGCGAGGGGGAGCGGCACCCTGCAGTGCCTGCAGTCCGGTCGCAGGTCTCGTCGGCAGCTCACTTGAGTGGGCTGATCTGCACCGTCTTCTCGGTCCTCATCTCTTGATGTCTTTGGGCAAGAAGCATGCAGGACTTGAGTTTCCTAAGGGGAGCTCGGGAGACGTCTTGATCTGCCGTTGAGATCCCAGCGGCCGCGGGGAGGTCGGATTTCGCGTTCCGGCGCATTCCTTTCGAAAGTTCGGGTCAGCTTGAGGTTGGTGCTTCGGGATGGGCTCTTCTTCTTGTGACCCTGTCTGGGGGCAGTGCCAGGAGTTTCAGAAGGGTAAGTCGGTTGCAGGCCGGCCCGACTGGAAGGTCTCCAGTCCAGTCTGTCGGGACCGGCGGCATTCTGCGAAGCTCTCGGGAGGAATTGGGATTCCACCACCGCAACTGCACGAGCCATGACATGTTTCTGCATACTCCGGATGCATCCCTGATGCGTTTCTTGCAGGTTTGCAGCTCCGGCCCAGGCCTGCCTGCCGAGCCTGCCGAGCCTGCCCCGCCCGCCCTTCGCGCCTCTTGCGCTGACACGCACTTGCTGTGGCGAAGCCTCGAGGCCCCGCGTGTGCTTCGGACTCACAGGAATTCAGCTGGAGGTAGCTCGGTGGCGACCCTTTTCTCTCAGACGAGGGGCAGATGTCGGGGCGAGGATGATGAGCTCCAGCAAAGCCTTGTGACCTGGCGCCTCTGCACCATCAAGGCCGTCAGATAAATCTGCCGAAGGCCCACTTCTTCCTGAGGCTTCGCCGCCGTCGCCGCTTCGCCCTTCCTCCAAGCTCCGAGAGCTCCGAGAGCTCCGAGGAGAGGTCATGGCTTGGCTTCAAGCGCCCCGAAGACAGAATCCCTTCGCGAACTTGCCGGTGACTGGGTAGTGTCCGTATTTTGCGACACAGCACTTAGTGGCCAAGCGAAGCTGCCCGGCCAGAGTGTCGAGAAGAGCAGAGACAGCAGTGCTGCAGCTCCCCGACGATCTCCCTGAGTTCGAGGCCTTTATCTCGTGGGCAGCCCCTTTGCATGGAGAAGTTTTCTATTTGCTTGGTTCAAACCTCGGAGTCTAGCACTTGACCCGATAAGCATCGCGCCAGTCAAAAAAAAAGCTGGAGTCCGCCCCGGCAGTGAAGGCGCAGGCCCTTCGAACTGCACAGAAATGTTTGTCTTCGGCGTTGCAATGCATAGGTTTCAGTCTCTCGCCGACAAGCGGGAGATCGAACTAACGTTCGAGATCCAGAGAACACCCAGGCTACAACAGCATCTAGGGCCTAGGGAGAAGTTGCACAGGCTTAAGACACAGGGAGATTTGCTGACCCCAGCCTGAAGACCAGTGGCCCAGGCAGCCTCACACAGTTGTCGCTGCCGCTCGGATGGTAACGGCTTTCGGCTCCCATCTGGATGGTTCCGGGTGCTTCTGTAATTGCAGACTTCAGGATTGTTGGGGGTCTGACTGTGTGGGCATTGGCGTGAGTTGTCTTTGCAGTTGATGGGCGTCACGATCGCCAGAGTCCTGTCTTGGGGGATGTCTGGGGTGAAACCAGTGACGATCCCGAGGGATGGAATAGGGTCGTGCAACGGCGAACCCAGCGTTCTTGCAGCTTTCCACTTCCCCCCATTACTGGGAGCAAGAAATCGAGTTGCAGACGGAATCGACCAAGTACTTGTTGTACCGATGGCACCTCTGGGACCTATCGTGCTCCAGGTTGGCGCCGATAGAACTCCGACCTGGGCCTCGAGTGCTGGAACGAAGCCTCGTCGCGGCGCTGTCCTGAGGAACGAAGTGTCCGGTTCAGGTTCATGTACTATCATGTGCTGCAGTGTATGCAATGTATGCCTGATGGTGGATGGCTTGGGTTTGGGCATAGATACGGCCGTACATGACGACATCGTTGAGGGCTGGCCGCAGGCTTGCAAGCACTCTGCGGCCTTACTTAGCAGGCTTTGTGCTGCGTCGGCTATCAAAGACAGCCTTGTTGGCACTTGAAGTCTCTTCACTCTTCACGAGAGCTAGTTGGTTTCCCAAGACCGTTCCGAGCGGAGACTTTTGTTTGGTTGGCACATGAGTGGGTGCGTGGACCCCGAAGGGATGCAAACTCAAGGCCCCGAACCGAGACGATCCCCCACTGCTCCTGCCGCGGGACTTCGGGGTTGATTTTTTCTGTACAGACTGTCGCTGGATGATTGCACCTAGGTGGTGGCTTGCTTCCAGGAGATCGTCGGCGTGTGCCGATGTGGGCAGGCATGGCCAAGATTCAGAATGTTCACTCCAGAGTAGGTTTTGCAGCAAGCAGTCAATCAACTGGCTTCACAACAGGGTGCACAGGCTTTCCGTCCTAGCCCTGCAGGCCCGTAGCCATGTGGCCTTGACAGCGGCCTGCGGGCGGATCGCGAGCTTTCGGCTACTCAGCTCGAGAGGTCAACGCAGGGAGCATGGAGTCAGCGTGTGGGTACATCCACAATCACAATGCAGGGTTCGCTTTTCCGACTACCGAGGATCTTTCCGTGTAGAACCAGCACAGGGAGGCCACCAAGCTGCAGCCGGCAGCTGTGTTTTCCTTTGGGGCTTAGGGTTTGCCGATCAAGAGCCGTTTAGAGTTTAGGGTTTAGCGACCAGCAACAACTTTGGTTTTTAGGCTTGCCAACAAAAAATCTGTAGGGTCTGGGACATGTTCTTCTGGTAGCGTTTGGAATTTATTTATGTTTCAGTTTGGGCTGCCAACCGTGGGACTTCTTTCGTGGGGTTTGTTTCCTTCCAGGGTTCAGGGTTTTCCTTTCCTTAAAGGTTGAGTGTTGGAAGCCTGCAGTTTCAGCAAGATGCAGCCGGGTCGGTTTGCCGACCAACGGCCTTTTAGGGTTCAGCAACCAGCAACAACCGTTGTTTTTGGGTTTGGAGTTTGCCAGCCAAAGGCTTTGGTTGCGTTGGGGGGTTTGGGATTGCCAGCCAACATGTTTCTCTGGTGTTTCCTTTTTTGCACTTTCGGTCGCCAGCCCAGGGTTTTGCAAGCCATCATGTTCTTCCGTGGGGTGTGCTTCCTTCCAGGGTGTTCGCAGCGTGGGGCCGCAGCAAGATGCGGCCAGGTGGATTTAGTGTTGCCCTACCAACAGCCTTTTCGGGCCTGGGGAGGAGGGACCGGCAACAACTTGTTTTCTTCAAGGTGCTCCAGCCAGCATGTTCTTTAAATCTATGCCGTTTTTTTCTCCCACTTTGGGTTGCCAACCATGAGATTTGCGAATTGCAATCTTGTTTCGTCGGGTTTGTTTCCTTGTAGGGTGCAGGGTAGTTTTTAGGGTTGAGGAATGTGCAGCTGCAGCAAGATGCGGCCGAGTCGGGTTTCCGACCAACGGCCTTTTAGGGTTTAGGATTTTGCACCAGCAACAACGGTTTTTCAAGGTTTGGGGTCCAAAGCTTTTTGTGGGTTCGGGATTGCCAACCAACCAGTGTGTTCTTTCGGTGTTGAGTTCGTTGTGTTTACTTTCGGGACTTGCAAACCACCATCTTCATTCGTGTGGCTTGTTTCCTTCTGGGTTGCAGGGTTTTTCAGAAGCAATTGTCTTTCAAGGTAAAATGTTTGCAGCCCGGGGCCACGGCAAGATGCGGCCAGGTCGGTTCAGGAGTTTAGGGTTTCGTGGTGTGAGCAAGTAGGGGAGTAGGGACCAGCAACAACTTGCTTTCTTCAAGGTGCTCCAGCCAGCATGTTCTTTTGGTCTTTCAAAATCTGTTTCTATTTTCTCTCTGGGTTTGCCAACCGTGGGATTTGCAAGCCACAATCTTCGTGGGGTTTGTTTCAGCGTTTCCCGCAGGGTTTAGGGTTTCCTTTTGGCTGGCCAGGTCGGTTTTCCGATCAACGTCAACAACAGTTTTTTGGGATTTGGACTTGCAAACTAATTTTTTTTGGGTTTGGGATTGTCAACCAGTATGTTTTCGGCGTTCAGTTTTTTGTTTACTTCTGGGATTTGCAAACCACCATCTTCATTCGTGGGGTTTGTTTCCTTCCAGGGGAGTTCAGGGTTTCCTAATGTGACTAGGGTTTGCCGACCAACAGCCTTGTCGGGCCTAGGGATCAGGGACCAGCAACAACCGCTTCTTTTAGGGTTTGGAGCTTGTCAACCAAAGGCTTTTTTGGTTCTTTTGGTGTTTGAAACTTCTGTTATTCGGTTTGACTATTTGGGTTGGCAACCAGGGGACCCGCAAGCCCGCAAGCCACCATCTCCTTTTGAGTTTTGCTTCCTTGTCGTGTTTACTGCCCTGCACTCCTGCGCCTGCCTGCCCCTGCCCTGTCCTAATGTTCGCCAACCAACATCTTGTTTTAGGGTTTCGCACTTGATAGCGAAACCTTCATGCAGCGGTTGGTCAAGTACTCTTTTGTGCAACCATGAGTTGCCCACCAACATCATTTTCATGGTGTGGGTTTGCGTCCTACTATTGGTCGCCAGGTCATTTTTGGCAACCCCTCTCAGCATTGCTGCCTGTGTTGGCATCCATCCTCCTTTGTTAGGGTTCGCGAGTGGCTGCCCGGGCGCCCATCATCTTAGAGTTTGACAATTGGACACCCATCATGTCCTAGGCTCTCCTTTTTTCGCCTTGGGTTTTCCACTTATCATCTCGGATTAGGGTGTTAAGTTCTTGTGGACCAGCCACACCTTTACGGTTCGGGGTTTTGAGTTTGTGTTCCAGCCTCTCCTCTTGTTGTCGGACACCTGCTTTAGGGTTGAGGATCCGATCATCTCCTGTTAGAGTGTCGGGCGGTGCGGGGGGCCGGTCGCACTCTTCGCATACTTTCGAGCCTTTGCTCCTCTGTAGGGTCTTGGCACCCTCGTCGGTTTAGAGGTTTTGGCAAACCAGTCCACGGTTCAGGGGTTTACTATCCGTCACTTCCCAAAACGTGTTGGGCTTCTTTGGGATTGTGGGTTTTGGGCGAGCCAAACCCTGCCAGAGCGGTCCTCGGAGTGCTCAGAGAGCCAAGGCTGAGAGGGCCCTGGCGAAGACGAGAAGGCAGGGCTTCTGGGGCTCAGGCTTTTAGAGAGCCTTATCGTTCGGGTCATTCCGGTCATGTACAAGCTCAGACGAAGTGGAGCTCAAGAAGTCTTGGTGTCGCCGCTTATGCTTCGAGTGTGGCTGCAAGCGTGTCCATTTCCGACTGTCTTCGTGGGTGCAGCCGCGTCCTGCCTTCAGTAAATTCGAACTCCGGACGGACGCAGGCTGCGCAGCTCGTCGGTGGAGGTCTCGTGCTCTGGCCTCCGCGACTCGAGGTGGGGCTTTGGGGTTTTGGCACATTCAAAGTCATGGACTTTGAACCTCGGTGCAGCGACAGCGCATGCCTTAATCAGCAGGGTCAGATCATATTGGGTTTTTGGCAAAAAAGGGCGTTATTGCCGGCCTGCTGACATACGGAGCCCCGGTGAGGAATGCAGAACCTGTTCCAGTTGGAGGACACTCTATGCAAGATGCGAGTCCTACTGCGCGAACTTCTTGATAATGCAGGAGCGGCAGGGGAGACGGCATAGTCACATAGTCTTGGAAAGCCAAACATCATTTCTGCTGTGCTTCAGCCATCGTTTCCTTGTTCCTGTTGCTTTTAAGGGGTGGCACTTTGTGACTGTATGCGTTCACTACACCTTTCGGATCACATAGGCATGCTTCCATTGTAGCTGCTGCAGGATAGGATCGTCTTGTATGCATTGTCCAAGGCAGCCCTCAAACATGCCTTGCCCATCGACCGAGCCTTGCAATGCTCTCCAGGATTGGCTGCAGTGTGCCGTCCGAGCAGGGAGGTGGCAAAGAGCCACGAGCCAACTGCTTAAACAAATCGTGCAAGTAAGGGCGAAACCACTTCTGAGCCTCTGAGGTTTGAGGACCCACGCTCACCGTGCTCCGGCGAGCAGCAGCAGGACCGGGCAAAGATAAGCATATTCTGCTCGTTCGGAAGAAGGTCAGACGGTCCAGTCTTCGCAGCCGAACGTGACACGTGATGTTGACATGACCGACCCCCATCCCTAAAGTGCTCCCGGCAGAGCCAAAAGAAAAAGACAGGGAGGGAAACTGAGCAGGCCGACTGACTCGAAGGCAGACAGACGGAGATGGAGAAGGGGTGGGAGACAGAGGGAAAAGAAGCAACAGTTCGTATATCGGCAATTGAGTGACAGCAGCTGCCGTCGCACTTTTCGAGTGGCTTCGAAAAGTTCTGAGGGGCAGGGCAGGGCAGGGTAGGTTTTCTAAGTATGCCAGGAGAGGATGTGAGCTTTTGAGCTCGAAAATTGCAGGGAGAGGGTTCTTCCGCATGTAACAGGAGGCCAGAAGCTCGCGCTGCGCCTGTTTTCATTGACTTGCCGAAGGCGACCTTCACTTCACAGGTTAGTGTGTAGTCAGTGTAGTTGCCGTAGTTGCCTGATCTAATATGCTCTCGCTTCTCCAATCCAGTTCATGTCGCAGCTACTTAATCCCAGCTGTCAGTGTACTCCTTGAAAAATCTGAGATCAAAAAAGCATCTGTCACCCGTGACTCTACGAAGGCAAGCGCCGGCGGCTTCCTTCTCTGTGTGCGAATTGCCAACCTGTCGCACTCCGGCCCACTGCTCGAGCTTTGGCCCCAGCCTCAGCCGCCTTCGGTTTGTGGGCCTCCGCAGGGCCGTTGTGTTGCTGAGGAGTATTTGGCCTATGATGGTGCTGGCCAGCCTGGAGCCAGTGAACTTGCGCCTTAGTTGCGTTGAGATCTGCAAGGGTAGGCCAGGTAGGCTGCTGTTGCTGTTCGACCGCTGGCAGACGCAGGCTTGCAGACCGACTGGACGTCGTGTCTCTTCTGGCTGGTTGTGGCTCGAAGGACCGCAGCGCCAAGCATGAGATACGCTCCGCCTTACTTCCGTTACTTCCGGACAGGAGCCGTTGACCTTCCGACACCTGGAAGCTCGGGGGCAGCGCAGCGTGGAGGATCCACCGAAATGGCGGCACACCCTCGCAGGCCCGTGGAAGGTCAGAGTTGATCCAGTTTAGCTTCAACACAACTTGGTATTTTCGGCGGGACATTTGGTAGCCCGATGCCCTGAGCCTTTCTACCCACAACGGCTGAAATGCTTCATAGTTTCGGTAATTTCAGTGGGCAGCTTGGAACCCGACGCCCTGAGCTTTTTCACCCATCATCCCGAAATCGACATGGGAGCCCGGATGAGGTGTCGGCACGATGGCTGAGCTCTCACGCTGCATCCTGCACAAAGGTGGCTTCCTGTCTTGTTCCCTGGCCTAAAGAAAGAGTGGACCTTAATTCAGTGAGCCCATCCCGCTAAGATCTCCTTCGGATCACTAAGCTCGGTCGCTCAGTCCACATTCTGCGTGTGAACTCTGAACTCCCTGCACCCACATCCATAGCAGACGTTCATGCCCAGGCTTGATGGTATCGAAGCTTCATCTTGCGTGCTTGCCACCGGTGGACATCGCTGCCCTGTCGATGTTACTCTGGGTTTAGGGTACCTGCAAAGGTGCGCGGAGGAGCGGAGGAGTGGTGGCTGATTCGGCTCGGGAGTTGCCTCCGAACGCGGGTTGTTCCCTGCAGTTTCTCCAAGCTTGGGTCCTCGTTTACATTGTGTTACAGGGGAGGTCAGCAGACTGGAAGGAATGCTACTCATACCTGTCGACCCGTTGGCGGGAAGGGGCCATCATGCACAAAGCAGCGGCTGTCTTTCACACCCCGCGGTAACTCGTGCCGTTGATGCCTCGTCATTCTGATGATCTGCCGTGCTGCAGTGAAAAGCGCGGTGACGCACTGCCAAGGCAACACTTGCCGAAACAGTCACGAAGTCGTGGTGACTCGCGCGTGGTAGCTGGCGTTGTCCATGTGCCGCAGTCGCCTCTCTCAGATGGGAAAATGTGCTAGCCAGCTATGACCAGATGCACCAGAAGTCGGCGTGCAGTTGCTCATGACATTGGGGGTACTTGTCGTTGTGGTTCTGAAAGATTCCAGGATCCGTCAGAAACAGATTTGACACCTACGAGGAAGAGATGTGATTGGTGCAGCCTCGAAGCAGACGAATCCCTACTGAACATCAATCCAAGTAGATGAGCAAGCGCCAATGCTTGCATGCGCTGCATGTGTAGCCTCGCATGGCCTCCCGGACACCTGGCAAGAGCCCTTGGAAGAAGATCGTGCCCGCAGTTTGCGAAGCTGCGTGGTCGCCAGTGCGTCTTTAATGTGGCTGCTTGCCATGCTGGCTTGGACTCACCGTCCGGACCGGATGTTGCAGAAAGCATCGGTAGCCTGCGACTGTAAGTGCACCCGATACCCTTGACACCACACATATTCAAGTTTGACTATGATACCTGCTTTGGCCACTCCGATCTGGCCGTGTGTTCAACAGAGAGCTGCGCTCCTGCTGGTGCCTTCAGGCCCCTGGGCCCCTCGAGCAGCAGAGTGAAGCCGCTAAAGTCTAGCTGCCACGATTGAGCTCCAGCCGCTGACGACGTCGGAGCAGAAGCCTCCAGGCGCCCAGCAGGCACGCGTCAGACGGCGCAAGTGCGTGCAACACTGATTCGCTGGGCCTCAGTGGGGGTCCCGGAGCGGCCATCCAGCATCAATCTTGTCCAGCCGTCCACTGACAAGTGGATGGCGAACGAGATGTCGCTCCGTGCCGTGAGTTTGTCGACAAGCAGATTGCCGGAAGCTCTTGCAGAGATGAAGCAGATGCTCCAGGATTTCATGAGGAACTGCGTGATGCCCGCCTCACTGCCAGACCTGCTGGTCTAGAGCTGCAACCCAGTCCCAGTGAACACGTAGTTGATATCCGTGGCATGATTCCTCATCTGAGCCTTGGCCTGCCTCCACGCCCCATGCCCTGCCGTGGCCCTCCGTGAAAGTGTCTGGCTCAGAGGAACCACCACGGGCACCTGTCAGGATTACCGGGAACATGTTCATCATTCGTTCATCCTAGCCCTAACCACTCCTTCTTGGCGACGACAGGCTTCTGCAGGTTGCGGCTCCGGACTCTCGTTTGAGGGCGTAGCGGGAGGGCTGCTTGGAGACATGGAGCTTTTCGCAGTCACCCAGTGCGAGTTTTCCTACACGAAAAGGTGCGTAGGAATCGGAGCAGTTGGTGCGCAGCGGGAAGCAACAGCGAGGTGAGCAAAGACAGGCGGGTCGCTAGCAAGCCACGCCTTCCCTGCTAGCCCCCCTGTTCCGGTGAACTCATCGAGATGCATACCCGAGCAGTTGCACTTCAAGCTTCTGGCGCATCTCCTGCAGCATTAGGTCGGCTATTGCCAGCGACCCGAGCCGTCAAAGGACCTCACTCCCGGAAGTGCAGCCACCACCAGGCTACCACTTGCTCATCTGCAGGGCCGAGGTCGCCGCTGGCCGCTGCTTCCAGGTGCTCGGACTTCGAGGCTCTGAGCGGCCCAGCAAAATCGGCCCTTCTTTCGTCTATCCTCGTTTCCATGGCCATCGCAGTTCTGCGTGCCACCTTCCGCCCCTAAACATGGCGACTGCCAGCTTCTGTGGCCTTGCCACTCGGCTGTCCTGGCTTGTCGCCCGGGAAGGCGGAGCGCGCTTGCGCAGCCACAGCCGTCACAGCCGTTGCTTGCTTGGGTTATGCCAGGGCACATCGAGTGCAAAGTTCGACACGCCACTGCATGAAACATTTGGGCGCTGGCCTTTGAAGTGCCCTAGCAGCCCGTGCCGCACATAAGATGTTGGCCTGGCAGGTTTTAGCGGCACTCAAGAGAGTGATTCAGTTTAACACGACCCATTCAGTGCAGCATGCTGATTCCCAGAGCAGCATCGCCACGTCGCTTCAGTCTCTTCGCGTCATGCAGCAGCTGGCTTGAGCTGCTGGTCGAGCTGAAGAGTGCCTGCGGGCACGCATTATGTCGTGGCAGCTTGCAGATCTTACAGGATGCGGCATAGCAAGCTTGCGGCACGGCAACTTCAAACGCTCATACATGCTATACATGCTAAACAAAGCACCACTTCGAGGCTGTTCCTTTCGTGATGGTGGGCCCACCAGCTTCCCAGCCGCTCGCCCGCGGTGGCGTTTCTTCGCCGGAGGCCTCGGCCCCATGTTGCCGTATCGGGAATCAAACCTCGAGTGAATCAGCATTGCAGCTGCAAAGCGCATGAGATGCTAGGCTTATGGAGGCTGATGCGATCATCGCGATCCGCTCACCAGCAGATCAGCGTCAGACTGAACCTCCTCACCGGTTGAGACGCAGGAGAGGAGCACTCCCGGCTTCAAAACAGTACAGCTAGTCCGCTTCCAGGGTTTGAAGACGAGGGGCTCGATCCAAAGCAAAGGGTGGTCTTGAGGCGCCGCAGGCTCACAAGGATCCTCTTCGGGATGCCAAGGGCCGCCTCTTTGTAAGAGTATCCTTGAGAAGCAGACGACTTGACATCCCCAAGGTGGTTTCCATACCGAATTTCGTTGAAGCGGCCGCAAGACGAAGGCAGCAACTCTCGTGTCCATGCAAGTTTTCTTCCCTCACGAAGAGGCCCCAGCGCCTTGGCCACGGGCTCTGAATCAGGATTCAGGAGAGGCCGTGTGGCTGCGTGTGAGGAAGCAGGTGTGGCAAAAGGAGTTCGAAGAGCGGGTGAGTTGTTGCATTGAAATGATTGAGAAGACAACGTCAAGCTTGCAGTCTCTCATTCTGATGCCGGAGATTCGGATTCGGGTTCACGTTGACCACAAGCCGGCATGCTGCCAAGCCTTGAAGCCCCTGTTGCTTCTTTCTGCATCGCTGGCTCTTCCACCCCGTCCAGTGTTCAGGGCCTCGTCCGTCATACGTTCACAGTTGGAGGTGACAGGAAGGTACGAGCAAGCGGTGAAGCCCCTGAGGCCAGCACCAGCTTCGTGCAGCCTTTGCAGAGTGATGCAGAAGCCAGCACGTTGCATCTCGCGACGGCGTGCCATGCGCATCCGATTCCTCCTGAGCAGCTCTGGAAAGTGAGCCGAGCTCTTGCCCGAGTCTTCGTGTGCCTCCGCCGTCCCGGGCTGTGGCTCGGATGAAGGCTTCTTGGGTGGAAGAGCGGACTCTGCAGATGCGATGCCTGGTTAGCAGTGGCAAAGCTCCGGCAGACACAGAGTGCCTCGCGTTATCAAGTCCCATGCCGCTGCATCACTTCCTCCAAACTTCTACTCGACACCCCATGGTTCATCTGCGGAGTGCAGCAGGTAGGTGGCTGTCACCGAGAGCTCTGCGGCATGGTTTGGTGCAAGACCTTCGTGCATTAGGGGCATCGCATTCTTCGCATCGATGCTCGTCTGCACCGACCTCCGGTGTAGTGTCATTCGGAAGCTTTGTGTGCGTACAGGACAGGCCGGTGGGCCTTGCGCATAGATGATGACGATTGTCCCGTCGAGTGCCTGTGGATTTCTCTTCGCAGAGCTCCTGGTCAAGCACCTCGTTGAAGGCGCCAGCGTTGTCCCGGGCTGCAAGCGCTCCAGGCCGCCCCCTCCCCGGAAAGGCCTGCTTCCCCGCTTCAGCGCAGGCCTGCTCCGCCAGTCCTGCGCGTGAGATAGGGCCCGGAGCGCAGCAAAGGCACGCGCTGAGGTCAGCCTGAGGAGTAGGTGTAGGCGTTCGATCGAGAGCTGAGAGGCGAGAAGGAAGGAGGCGACGAGCCCTTGTGAGGCGTTGTGAGGCCTGGAGGCGTCATGACTCTCTTGGGGTCTCGTCTAGCAGCGCCTCGTGCCCCAAAGTTGGGCCTCAGAGCAGTGACGTGTTAAATGCTCGGGTGGGCCCGGCCTCAGCAGGTCTTCATAGCTTGCGGGCGACTCGTGTGGAGCTTGGTGGCTGGCCCAGCGGGCGAGAAGTGTCCGACACCGCCTGTTTGTCTGCGGCTGTGTTCAGAAGCTCTTGGGAGCAGGGGAGGCCCTTGACATCATGACATAGTTTGCGCAATGTGCTGCAAGCCGACAAGTCCCTCGGCTGTCCCATTGCTGAAGGTGAATCGAACTTCTCAAGAGAGGACGGTGGTCTTCCCCCCCTTTCCCATGTTGTCGGTACGGGCGGTATAGGTTTAGGCGCCTGTCAGGCATTCCCTTGTGTGCACGGAGGCCTTCTGATGAAGATCTTGCAGCTTCTTGTGGCGGCTTCTGACAGAAGCTCTCCCCACAAGGCAGTCAGGCTTCCCAGGCAGGCTGCTGCAATTGCGGGAGCGTTCCGGCTTCAGACAGGCCCCACGGACACATACCCTGAGGCAAGAATCTCGCTGCCCTCAGACTCCTGGTGGGTTTAAGTGAAGACTTGCCTTTGGTGGGCTCGAGTATGTTGCAAAGCGGCTCGATTGAAAACTGCGAGGACCTTGCCGGCCGCGTCGCCCACCACAGGTGCTTTGAAATGCGCAACCCACAGTTGAACTGCGTTGGGCACGGAGTCCATCGAAGTTCATGGTAAGAAAGGCGCCTCGCTCGAAACGCAACAGCGGCATTTGCCTGGCCCCAGCTGAGCTCAGTGCGAAGGCAACCTGATCCCGAAGCATCGTGCGCCTGCAGAGTCGGCTTTTTCTTTCAATCCGCTGTCTTGGCACCTGCCCGTGACCTGCACCTGCCATACTTTGAGAGCTCGAAACCGGCTGCTTGAATCCGCAGGCCGATGCTGCTACGATGCTCCGGGGGCCCTCACGCAGTGTCTGTGTCGCTGGTGATGGCTTGACCCAGGCACCCAATTCGATCGGTGCTCGGAACTGCTTGGAGCGCCTAAATGCAGGTGACGACACGCCCATCTGGCCCACGGCAGACCATCCTAAGCGCCACGAGCCCCTCGACAGAGGTCGTAAATCGAGGCTACAAATCATGTGCTCATGGGCGTTTGCAGTGTCGCTCAGAGGTACATTCAAGGGCCCGCGGCTTGCAAGCTGGCTGGCCATCACTGTCAGCTACATGCTGATTCCAGACAAGTGCGTGGACACACACGGCAACGATGCATTTCATCATAAGGCTAGGTGGCTGACCCTCTGCCGTCCATATGGGTCGACGTAGGTTTATGGCTGGCAGATACGGCTGATGTTTCGCAAGTCCTTAACCGATCGCCGACCGTGACCGCAGCCTTGACGACTGACAGCGCCGTCCTCGCTGTTTCATCGGTTGCTCCTCTGTGCTGGCCTTGGCCACTTCGGTGTGCGACAGGGCGTCGTCGGCCAAGACCAAGAAGAGCTGCTGTGCGCCGGGGCAGTAGGTGCGAGCCAGGACCGCCGCCCCTCGCTTCTCTTAGAAAATTCTGGGGCCCAGGCCAGGCCTAGGGGCCTAGGTGTCTCCTTCTCCCTGTTTTGGGCCCCTTCTGCTGGGTGCCTGCAAAGGGCCCTTCTTCCGGCCGGAAACGCGAGGCCGAGGCCGGAGAGAGCTCTCAGCCAGGACCTGGACCTGACGCTGCGGGCGCTTGCAGCGCAGAGCCCCTTGTTTGTGAGAGCTGCCAGAGGCCTCCCTTATGCAGAGGCTCCCTGGTCTGTCACGACTTCCTGAAACTCCACATTTGGGGGCGAAGTGTGAAGAGAGCGTGTCGCAGGCTGCGGGCACAGGAGCTTTGCAGCCCAAGAGCCTGATGGTGCGGACGGCCATCATGGCCGGTGGCGCAGTTCCCTTTGAGTGATGAGTTGCTTGATGTGCAACACATCCCAAGCAAGCATCTTGTCTCCGTCTGCCTGCTATGTTTGGCAACGGTCTTCCTAATTGTGCCAGAGCAGAGTTGCACAAAAGCGGCCTCTTGCGAATGGTTTGGTGCAGCTCATGAGGATGTCTTGAGGGGTGCAGCCGTGTTGCTGTTCCCGTCAAGCAGTCTGCGGTGCATCTGTCGAAGCCTTTGGCGAGCAAAGAATCCCGTGGGCATTGCCTGCAAGGTTTGGGGATTGAGATTTGGCATGAAGGTGAAAGAGATGCAGACGGCTGCAGGTCCTGCGAGGGCTTGCTTTCAGTCCGACCTCCCTTTGCTTCGCCGTACTGACCTGCTTGCAGTGCTCTGCCGGCTGCTACCGCCCAGATTTGGGGAAAGGGCTTCTGGCGAGTGCGATAATCGGATTGTTTGCCTTGCTCTGAAGAACTCGACTTTGCCTCCTGCAAGACTGCATCCTGGAGTGAGCCTCAGCCTTTGACTTGCAAGCCGTGGGCTCTGCGAACTCTTCGAGTGGCAGCTTGGCTCTCTGTGCTGTGGACGGGTCCATTGAGACATATCTTTGTCCGTCTTGCATGTGATCAGCAGGGGCCCGGGATTCGAGGGGCCTTGCGCGAGATCCGAGACAGTGAGGCTAAGATTCCTTGTTCATGTAAGGCGTCACTGAACTTGAATCCCGAATTTGAAAGCAACGCGCCGGCAGCTCTGCATGCATGCCACTGCGATACCCGTTTGATTCAGTGATACTTGATTCTATCTCCGTCCCTTAGCCTGTTACCAAAGAGGTTCCATGTAAGGATTGATCTATAACCCGGGCTCTTGATTCAGGACTGCAGGGGCCATTTAGTCTGAGGCCTCGATTGGAACAGCCTTCAAACACTGGTGTGTGCGTGCAAGATTGCCCAATAGGGCGCAAGAGCGTGCAAGACGCAATTTAATGTAAATTCAGCTCGTATTGCAGTACATGATCGGGAAAGATGTAAACTGCAAGACATGTTAGAACGCCTGCGAGGCCAAGTGCAAGGGCCGATTGAAGAGCTACGGATCGGCGCCGTGATCTCGATCAGCGCCCATATTGGCATTCCGCCTTGCGATGCACACCTCTGCTCTCATCCGAGCCTGCAGCTTTCTCGTCCCAAAAGACTTTGTTTGGCAAGTCGATGAGGAACTCCTCGAAAATCAGATCTGCCGCTCCCGGAAGGACTCGGAATTTATGTGCGTTAAGGAACAAGTGCACATGTTGCATGCAGATGCATTTTGCACCATCGTCGCACACGTCTTCAGTCCTCGGGCAATGGGAGGAGGTCTTTGGTATCTCATTCAGGGTTAGTTTGTGGTGCCGGGTCAACCTGATACCCGCAGTGCACATGCTTTTGTAGGGCTGACGCCTCTGGCCGGTCATTTCCCCTGCCAGTTTCCCTACATAGCTTCAGATTTCAGGAAGGAGGGCGAAGTGAAGTCAATTCTGCTCAGGCTACCCGATTTGCCACGCCGCACGCTCCACCAGCTGCAGCTGACTCGCAGGGGTCGACAGCTGAATGGCCTCGACGGGGATCCCTTCGCCTTTCACCTGGCCTGCCCAGGCTGCTCCTGTCTTTAGACCCTTTATACCTTGCAGCTTCCACGGAGCAAGCACTGTGTCAGGTGAGGCAGGTGCAAGGCGCAAAGGACGTGCATCCCAATTTCAGCAGGCTTCTCGGTCATGCAAGATTGCAAAGAACTCATGGAACCGCAAGCGTCGATCAGCTCCCGTGTGGCTTGGTACCGATGCTGCGCAAGCTCAAAGCACACAGTATCTTCAGTGCTTCGATGTCCTTACACTTAGGCTCTATATTGGAAAGAGTGTTTAGGTGCAAGGCCCAGGCCTTTGCCGTTCTGCTGTGGCCGAAGTCAAGATGCCGCATTTTTTTCGCGGTGCAGTCGGCACCGGCTTGCTGGTCAACCACGGGCTGGTTCCACATTTGCAGGATGTCCTGCGTCTTGAGCATTGCCTGGAAAGGCTTCAGCAGAGGCGGAAAAAGGGATTGGAAGGCTGGGCAAATCCAGAGCGGCTCGTGGCTGACATGGACAGCAGCAAGAGAAACGGTGAACGAGCGCTGGCTGTCACAGAACCTCGGTTGTTCTGTTTCTCTTCTAGTTGTAAAATCGGGGGAGCCCTTGTTGTCTGTCACCTAGGCCACCTAAGTGTAGGGGTTGGACTACCGGTTGATCCAAGGACCTCGTCCAGTGTTGGTTGTTGCCGCACACAGTCTCTCCTCATTTTCTGCCGGTCCCGCTAACCCGGTCTAGCTCTTGGGGGAGGAATGTTCGTACTACTTCTGCGCATACCGTGAAAGGGTTTAGCCATAGCTCATTGAGCACAGCGGCAAAGCCATCACCCGCATCATGCCGCACCTTCGCATCCTTCTCGTGATTTCGGCCCCTTCAACTCCGATGTGACCACAGCATGGGCGACTCGTCGACCATGCCACTGGCCTTCGTCTGCAAAAGTCGAAGGACTCCGTGATATTGATGCAATGATGATGCTGCTGCAAGGCACGGGTAGACGCCACCTGCTTGCAAGAGCATGCATGAAGCCACGAGCGGCGGCATCAACTAATTCTTATCCCGAACGTCTAACAGCTGCGTGTCGAAAGTTGTGCCGCTAAGTGGCCCGCTCACCAAGCTTGGGAAACATCTGAGCACACTGTGATCTCGATCCAAATAAGCCGGTCAAGTCCTTTTCTCGATCTCGTGCAGGCCACATGTAGACAGCTGCTCTACTCTAGGTAAAACTGCGGGTCCTCGGGTAAGTGCAGGGGCCATGGAGACGTCGGGTCGTGCTGACAATGCAGATCGAGTCATGAGGGCATGCATGCCATGAAGGCAGTGAAGATGCAGGATGAGAGGAACTTGCGCAACGTTTGTGGAGCGACGAAGTTGCCGGTCTTATCCTGGCTTTGCAAGGGGCGCCGTGCCTTTGTTTGGATTCCGGCCACTTGCCAGGCCTCTTAAGAGTCGCCTCGACTCAGCGGGGCCGGGGCCTGTGCTGCGAGGTGCTGGAGTGTCAGGATGGTTCGCTCTTCAGAAGCAGCGCTTGCGAAAAGTGCCTCAGGGACAGCCTCCTGCCTCGACAGCCGTACAGAGCATGCCTGAGGCGACCTCTTCGCAAACGCCTGGCGAGGACGGATGCCGTCAACCCAGGCTCAGCCGTCGGGACTTCTTTCTGGCGACGCGGCGACTTGCGAGCTCCCACATTCACAGGCTGCACATGCAGTCAACGCTGGAGATGATTCCGGATCGCTGAATTCGTGCCACGCATGGCGCTGCAGCACTTCGGCAACAACCCCAAGCCTTCGCATTGGTGTAAAACGCATGCGGGGCCCGGGCCTGCCTGCTGCCGATCCCTGCGCTCGCTACCCCAGGCAGCTGAGGGGGTCATGGATTGGACTGCGGAAGCAGTGCGGGGTGCTGTGTGTGGGTTGCGCTTCGTTTTTGTAGGTCCGTTTTCTGAACAGTAGTCGGAAAAGTCTGCGGCACTAGGATGCCTCACCTTTCAGTCACTTTATCAGTCTACAGCAGACGGTCAGCTGCAGTAAGGTTGCGAGAGCAGGAGCGACTTCATGTGAACATGTCTCTTCCAGTTTGATTTGCTGGAAATAGCGAGAGACACCCCTAAACCCCGCAGGCTGATGATTTGTGGCATCGCCGGTTCGACGCGCATGAACGTGCAGCACGCCGGGTTCCATGTACTGGCACAGCACAGGGCTCAGAAGCGGCACAGACGCGTAGATTCAGGTCGTGCATAGCAGCTTAGAAGCACCAGTAGACACATGGCAAGCACGATAGTCGAAACCATGTTTACTGGGCTCCCATCCTACTACGGTGCTTGTACGGCATTTTGCGACAGCTCCGTCGCACTTCCAACAAAGACTTCCCAGCGGTCGATGTGTAAGTGACGTCGAAGAGGACATTAGCAGAACCATGAACCTGTCGTCGTGGCTTTGGGACATGCAAAGCAGCAGCAGCAGCAGCAGC